TACTCGCAAGATCTCATTAGTGATTCTCTTTACCGACTCCCATACAATTCTTATCATTTTAGTTCCGAGAATTTGATGATGGATCAACTGATAATTCCGTAATTGATATTTTTCTTTGTTCTCATCGCTCGTCTGCGTGATATTATACTGATATTGTAGGGCAAAGTTCTGTCTTGGTCACTCATGGGATTCAAAGGATTAAAGTGTACCTGGAAAGTATACTTTAATTATTTTAAATTGCTCTTAGAATAAGTTAAAATGATCATAAAAAGAAAGATATCAATGAAACAAAAAAAAACTGTTATGCACTTATCTGTTGAGCTTGTTTCTAAGGAGTTGACTTCTACCAAAATCCAAGGCTCAGACTCTGTTATTCCACTGTGCATCCAAACAAATGTTTCCTGTCAAAATGCTCCGCGCTTTGTTCGACCCTAATAAACAAAGAGTAAAGTTAGTCATTTTCCTTCGCACAGGGGATTCAAATTAAACGGGTGCAAATCGTGTCGCATACCTTGAAATATAATGAATATTCGTCATTTAATGCAGACAAAAATGTTTTTGCATGACACCCTGGCAAGCTGTCATGTTAGAAGGGCACGTTATATAGTCTTACGCGTTATTATCTGATGATCAATAAAATGTTTGGTAAACTTTGTAATATAGAACAATCTTGGTAACCAGGGACTAAAAATTCAAATTACAAAGTGTTCTCTGTCAACTCAATTTTTGTTTCCAGGCCTTTTGGAAGCTCTTGATGTGAAATAATTTTGTGTTTCGAGCAAAATTTAACATGAAAGGCAATTTAATTTTCCTGATACTCGGAATGTAATAAAAAAATTCAGTTCATTTTTAAATTATTATCCAACTGTTTCAGATATTATGGTGCATAGAATTGGTTTTGAAATAGCGACTTACAAATCCATGGCGCCATATGGAGTTTGATATTTTCAAAATAAATACAGTTTATATCGTTTAAATAGTTAAATTTGGTATCGTTGATTTAATTGAAATTTCACCTAATTTAAAGTCGAAGGGCCTGGAAAGAATATGCGATTGAGTGAATTTTACGAATTTTGGTGACAATGAGGAACTGGCGCCTTATTCCTTGATATGTTTTCTATCCTCTGGGAGGTGGAGGATTTTTGGGGGATCACGTGGTTTTCAGGGGTAATGGAGGGGGATGAGTCACTGCCAACAGAGGGGTGGGGTACTATAGAAGATTGACCGCCAAATAACTGCCAGTGAGTGGAGAGTGGGGCTTGGGCTTGTAATAATATTACCAAGCCTTATAAGGGATTTAGATAAATTTTATGCTGGCAGAACAAAAATCCTCCGTCAAAAATAAACATGATCGTGAACAACATATTTTAAGAGATCATATTCCAGATTACTTTCTTTTTCATCAAGTTGGGTGTACACTTTTGTCAGAAGTGGATGCTTTTGTTCAATTGATAACTTTAATAGAAATCTAATTTTACACTGCTGAAACATACTTATGCAAAGGGCGGCGAAACACTGTTTAAAAAATTAGTCGAGAACTTTTGTTTGTTTTGTTACCAGCCATTGCCATATTCTTGGCTGTAATCGTATGCATGACAAATCACAATAAGATAAAGAGTGCAATTTTTTTAAACTTATCTTTAACGCTGTTTCCAATAATTGACCGACACCAGTGTCCAACTGAAGCTCTTGTTACGTACTCTCCTCGTAATACCCTTTAAGCAAATGCAATTTGATTTTCCACAACCTGAGTAAAAGAATACAGCAGAAATGTAAGAAATGTAATGCAAAGTGTCTAACAGATAATGTGGATGTACAGCTATGGCAAATATCTATTGGTGCACACTTTGATGTGTCGGCCATTTGGGTTGGGTGTAGTATTGAGCTATTTCAGTGAACTATTTCTGTCACCAGTCGTACATGAAAAGTGAGGTTTTCGTACGTATAAGGGTCTATAGAATTAAAACTAGCGAATTAACGGCCAACGATATATTTGTGTAGAAGAAAATAAAACTAATCAATTTAGAGGCCGAATCAAATCAATTTGAGGTCATTAGTGGTGACGAAAATGCGAAACTGCCGTAAGGCACTCAGCGCCAGGCATCATTTTATGTTACCTTATCACGATGTACAATTTCAAACAAACAAACTAAACGCAATTAAAAGCAGAAACGTGTTATGATTTCTGACTGACTCAAGACCTGGAGGAAAATTTCAAATTTAAGAGGATTAAAGACACTTGCAAGGAGTGCCTCGTAATTTTTTTAACTCACCGGATCCAATGTATCCTCGACATTCTTAATCTCAAATGCCAGCGAAATATAGAGAAGTCGAAATAAATGACCTGAGATTAATCGCGCTAAACACAGAGAACATATACTTAACTGAAGAAAAGCAAACAGACGGAACCGCGACCACCGCCATCACTGGAGTCCTTCCACATGCAAAACTGGGGCGTTTTTCGGGACACCTATCTATATATCACACCTTAATTAAAATTCATCACAAATATATGCGACAAATGTGTATTGCTCAAAAGAATGTGCTCTATTTTAAGAAAATTCCGCTAAGCTTTTGCGTTGTGCGGATCGCAGGAAGCAAACATTACATTCATAAAAGCGGGTTGATCGTATCTCATATCATTTCGACAAGAATGTTCCTCAACAAGAAGGTCAGGAAAGCGAGACTGCTTGTCTTTTGGTTGCAGAAAACCACGAAGGAAAGTTTGCAGTTTTTTTTAAGTATTTTTAAGCAAGAAAGTATCAACTCTTGTTAGCTCAGGGGAATATCAGCGAGACTAAAGGTTTTTGTTTTGTTCCTTCACAGCCAGCAAGTTTCTGTTCTTCAAAGAGACTATCAGCCACTCAGAGTTTTAATAGCGAATGATCGAATTACGAAAAGGTGGTAGTTTTGAGCGTCGATCTGTTTTTTTCTTTTTGACTCTGAGCCATTATAAGCATTTACTTCAGTTTTTTTGCCGTTCATACTCTCTTCAGAGTCTACGGACTTAACAAATCGCGTGTATCATGAACCAAAGACTACAAAACTGAAAGGCGTGCCGTTCACAATGGTCCCTGTGGACAGTAACATTCCAGGCCTTCTTTGTGTGTTTCCTGAGTCGATTGAGAGGCCTCTGGGGTGTTGACCGTCAGTGAAAGTGTAAATTAAGACAACTAAAACTGCTGCTAGTCATTTGAATTAATCATGGCGAGAAAAGCTTTCATCTCATTAGATGGTTCCGCCATTCTCAGGCCAACTTCTAAACCTCGAGGGTAAAATTTCCGTACAGCCCCATCCTACATTATGCATTCAGTTCTTGAACAGAGAAAACAATGACAAAAACAATACATTTCCATTGGGAAAACAGATTTGTTTTACAATGGTATGGGGCTGTGCGGAAACTTTACCACCTCGAGTGCCGAGGTAAACGATCTCTTCGCTGTAAAGATGCGATTGTTTCCGTTGCATATTTATTTGTTTGGTAAAATTTCCGCACAGCCCCATACTTCATTATGCATTCAGTTCTTGAATAGAGAAAACAATGACTAAAACAATACATTGCCATTGGGAAAACAGATTTGTTTTACAATAGTATGGGGCTGTGCGGAAAGTTTACCGATAGTTCATTCATTAACAGTTATATTATTAGCCGCCGTCTTTGTTTATCAGTGTTACAGTGCAACGTAAAATGTATTTCATGCTAATTAATTCTTTTATTCTACTCGGATCTTCGGAACTCTGTTGGATGCTTAATTTATGTCCCTTGGGTTGGCCCAAGACCCTTAACCCACATTAGCCCGACATATTCCGAACTTCTTTTCAAACAATTATGTTCGGAAACCCGGAATATTATTTTAAATTTGGGTGACAACTTTTTGGATTTTCGGAAAATTTTTTAGCAACTTTTTGGCGTTCCAATGAGAACTTTCCAGGCATTTAACGAGCACAGTCGCGATCGGGAAAAGCCTACACTGGATACATTTCGCAAATTGGAATAGCTTGTTACGATTTCTACGGTATTTTTGTATTGATAAGATTCTCTCTGATTTCACAACGGTGTAGTCTAAGAACAAAACTTCCTGATATCCTAACAAGTTGACAACGTCTCATGAGCGAGATTTACTCAACACTTGGTTAATTTATTAATTTATCCGTAAAATATATTCTCTACAGGGAAGCACTTGCGCTGGTTTTTTCGTTCAAAAGTTGTGATCAAATCTATGGTGAACAAAGCGAGTGAAATCAAAAGAAATAGCTCAGTTGTTTCCTCGGAAACAAAGTACTTTTCATTCCTGTGACTCTCACATTTATTCGAGTTCCGCTCTGGTGATGATCGGGTGATGCAGCGCAAAATAAACCCCAGTATGACCCCCAGATTTATTACTTGATGTTGTTTTTTTATTCGTTACATCCATTTTGAAATCAGTGATGATCTTGGCAATCTGATTGGCTCTCAACAGTGGGATTTTTTCGCGAACTGCTTTATTTTTTGCTCTAAATTGCAACACTAAAGGCGAAACGACCGGTCAGAATTTTAAGGCTTAGTAAGAGAAACCAATCAAATTTCAGAAGTGAAAGACAAAGAAGCCATTGGCTGGCGAATTTTGCAAATTTTGTCTCCCAAACTTTCGTTTTTTCTCAAGAAAATTTATGAATTTTAATTCCTTACAGTTTTCGATTAGCGACAATGAGATACTTGTGCTGACTAGCATCCTGTATTTGAGCGAACTACGCACAAATTTTTTTATTTCAAAATGGATGTGATGACATGCTAATTTACCTTTGTGACGGGCAATATTGGTTTGAAGTCATACCTGTGAATTTAAATCGAACTTGCGGTGCGCGGTCGTTCGATTTTGAATTTCAGACAAACTAATTAAGACTTTATTCAGTTTAATAACCACTATATTATACCCCCAGAGGGTGGTACCAAGTAATGCTAACAATATCTTTCTCCTCCCCGACACTTGTGATATTTTGAACCTTATTGTGCACTTTGCCTGCATACGTTAAACATGGAGGTTGGGTACTTGGAGGTTTTCAACAAAATATGGCATCATTGTGGTATTGAATGGGAGGATAGAGGCCCAACAAAAACATTTCTGACGGATTTTGTTAATGAAATCTCAAGTTATGGCTTCATATCTGGCGAAGATATTCTACTTTGTCTTATTCTTGGCGTGGCTTTCACCATATTGCGGTATTTGTTGTCGACGCTGATTTTCGAGGTATGAATCGTTACATTTGAAAATATTGTTTTTTTTCTTACCACTTTCTCTGGTTCATCTTCCGGTAATTTACTCAATTATCTTGTAGCTTTCAATAGTACTAATGCAAGTCGGGAAGCTTGTCGCGAAAGCATGTATCGATCAGCAGTTTCGATCAAAAGCTTAGCTTCTAAAAGACGCTCAGTTTAGCACATACAGTGCAAAGGTCATTTATGAGTTACTTATCAACCATCAGAGTTTCGATCACATAAATTTATTTCCCCATACTTTCAGGCAGATTAAATTTTACATTAGTAGGGATAAAAACATTGTTTTGACCGCTGTAACCGAGTGTATATGACACAAACGCCCCTGCACTTTGCATATGCGTCCGTGGCAGGGATGTGGTTAGGTCGTGCAAAACATTATAACCAACAAAATTATTGACTGTGCATTTATTTTTACCCCTCTTTTGTCGATTAAAATATTTAAAACGAACCCTATTCTTAACTCTTTAAGTTTTTACAAGGACTCGCTCCAAGTGATCTTTGATATTTGCGTAAATAGTGAGCGTAGTCGTTGTGTCGAACCAATACCTTGTAAACATCTTCAAGGTCCACTGCCTTCGGGTGTGAGGGAACTCATTGCCTTCGAGGGCTCAAGAGGACAATACTAAAACACGATTCAGGCCTAAGAGAACACTTAACACACACGTAGTTATACGACAACAAACGCTGTTGCGATCAAATCAAAGATGACAGGATTAAGATGAAAATTTGCTTAAGAAAAAAAACCCGATCAGCTGCACACACATCATCACAATTTATGTTTACTTCGAGTTTAAACTTATTCAGTCTACTTTGAAAAGAGCCATACTGCATGTACAATAGCCTTTTTTATGGCTTATGCAGAGCCACCAAAATTTTGCTCTTTGAACAAGATATCAACACGTGTCAGAAAATGTATCTTCGGTAAACAAATTGTTACCGTATGCAAACTCCGGAACGCTATACAAAATTAACCCACTGAACTCAACGGGCGCACCAGTCTTATAAAATGTTAAAAGTTAATTAGCAGCACTTGATCAACCAAGATCCTTTGTTTTGAGAGCGATCTATTGTAGCAGAGCACTGTCTTAATCTCTTAATCACCCTGTAGACTTCATCTATTATTCTTGTCTAAAATGATGGTGACCTTGGTGCTGTCATCGACTGTGGTGTGTAATCACTGGAAAGCCATGTTTTTGTTGTGATCTTGTTTGAGAAAAGGCAACAGAATGCAATGCTTATAAAAGAAAATGGAAAGTGAGATTATACTATAATTATGTGCGACTGAAGAATCAGAATATCCATGACTAAAGGACTAAACTTTTTTATGTTATGTCTAAATGCCTGGCAACAAATTTTCTGAACTTTTGTATACTTGTTATTATTATTATTATAATTATTATTATGCTGTATAATTGAATAAAGAACATCCATGACTAAAGGAGTTGCTAAAAACTTTTTTACTGTTTCAAAGAACCTTTCAGTGGACATTCTATGAGAATTTTTGAGTGACTTTAAGTCCATTCAAGACCGTACCTGGCTGCCAGGTATTTAGACACAGCCTAAGGGACCTATTTTGTTACTGAAGAGTTTGATCCTGAAAATTTTCTCCTCTCAGTTAAGTAATTTCTTTGCTTGAAACTCATCTTATGGTAACTGATCACTATTAAAAAAGTATAGATTAAAACCCTTTTGTAGAGGTGATGGAGTTATTGCATCTTATGGCTTTAAACTTGCTGTAAGTTAACATGGAGAACTTAGTGTGTGACACAGTTGACAACATGTGAGTGTATTTCATGTTAGTATCATTTGTTATGGATTATGACCACTTCTGTGAGGTTTACCATCTACTTGCCACCACCAATGAGAGTCAACATGCCAGAGATGGTAAATTGAGTTGTTAACAATCATTGTTACAGACTCTTTCTGTTGTGTGCACTATTAATTTTGTACCATCCAACTGAAAAATAGTAAAATGCAAGATGTATGCTTTCATTCGAAGTAAGTTTCATTAGATTTGGTTTTGAATTATGTTCATAAGAACACAACTTGTGTTGAGGGTCACATCGGCTTTTGTTTTGCATAACACAGAGAATGGGTGCTGAGCCCCTTCCTGTAAAATTTTGCCACATTTGTGTCCAGCTAAATTTGCAATAAAGGGGGTAAGTTAGTTTAGTGTTATCAACTGAGTTGATAATATAAATTGGCCACTGTAGAGAGTTTCAAAGCTGATGTTTCGAGCGTGAGCCCTTTGTCAGAGCGATTGATAAAGGACTAATGCTTGAAACATCAGCTTTTAAGCTCTTTATGGTGGCTAATTTACGATATCAACTTAGTTGATAATACTTAATTTCCCAGTTAATTTTGCAATGTATTACTACATCTTAGCATGTTAGTTTCATACCATTTCATACCAGGCATTGGCATAAGTCATTTGGTGAAATTCACTCTGGTTTCTTTGCTTGTAAACTTATCATAATCTTTGTGATATTATGTTTTATTTTTTTTCATGTAACACTGAAACTCATTATTCTTTTTGCCTTTAATGGTTAGTGTTCCATAATTGAGACATTACATATAGTGTCTGAGTCATTTGGCCACAGGTGGCAAGTTGACTCATGCAGTGGTTTTTCATGATGGCAAGTTGACTGGATACCCTTGTATAAAATGCAGACAAAACTATTACCAACTCATCTAGTGGCAACAAGCATGAAAATTCTTTCTTTCTAGAAGTGTCACAAACTAGGTGGTTGCTATTTTAGCAGGGTGTTCTCTAGCTAGTAGAAATTGAAGAATTCTCTGGTGGCCACAAATAATTCCCTAGTAAAATTTCAATGGCCAGAACCATTTTTATTCAGTAAGGAAGAGCATTCTTTTGTTTCTTGAAAGTAACACCATTCCTTTGCTTCTACTGTAAAATTTCTTGAGAGAAACCCTATTTAGACCCTGAATGAGAAGAGTTTCAAACCATACCTTTGTACTAGACGTGTATACCAACTTAAATAAATGTAATTTTAATTTAAACTTGGTAGTAAACAGCTGTCTTTTACTTTTACTTGCAGCCTTTTTTCAAATGGTGTCAGCTCTCTGAAAAAGATCAAAAGAAGTCTCCAGAAAATGCTTTCAAGTTTTTATATTACTGCTCCGCATATGGCTACTGTTCCTACATTCTGTTTAATGGCAAATACAACTTTTTCCAAGACACAAGAAACTGCTGGAAGGGTTAGTTTCATTTCTATGCACTGGAGTTTTACTCTTAGTTTCTGTGTATTTATGAGATGGGGGGAAGAGAACCTTTTTATTAAGGTAATGCATCAATCAATATAATACTGAAAATCTCCCCTCAAGCAACTGCTCAGGCATCTTAACTTTTGAAGATTAGTTGGTTCAAATCCCCACCTTTGGAACCAAAATTGTGTTCAAATTCCCCACTCTCTTGCCAGATTTGATTGTCAATTTTTTGTAAGAGGTAAGATTAGCAACTGATGACTTCATTGTAGACCTTTTCTCCTAAGCCATCTGCTTGCAAAAGTTACCTTTCCACTTTGAAATTCATCCATATTAAAGGATAAAACTTGTTTGTTCTACTGGAAAGACTTGACAGTTCTGATTCAATTCCCCACCCCACCTAGGCCCATTAAAGGTTAACTCCAACAAACCCTTCTTTACACAGAACTTTTAAAGTTCAGAAACAATGTTGATTATATAATCCAGAGAATACACATGGCTTTCAACTGATGGTCAACTATTCTTATAATGACCTTTTATGTGCAAAAGTTTTGGAACAGCATTTTTAGCTTTTCCAAAGACATCGCTCTTGCAAAAACGACTGTAAAAGGGGGTAAAGGAGAGGAGGGTAAAGGAGAGGTTAAAAATAACACTCAGATATACACTACCCAAGAGGGTATAGAACAGATTAAAAATAACCCTCAGGTATATACTTGCCAAGAGGGTATAGAACAGATTAAAAGTAACCCCTAGGTATACACTACCCAAGAGGGTATAAAAGAGATTAAAGATAAGCCTCAGGTATATACTACCCAAGAGGGTATAGAAGAGATTAAAAATAACCCTCAGGTATACACTACCCAAGAGGGTATAAAAGAGATTGAAAACAACCCTCAGGCATACACTACCCAAGAGGGTATAGAAGAGATTAAAAATAAGCCTCAGGTATACACTACACTTGAAAATAACCTTAGGGTATACACTACCCAAGAGGGTATAAAAAAGATTAAAAATAACCCTCAGGTAAACAGCAGATTGAAACAACCCTCGGGTATTCACTACCAAGGGGGGTATAAAAGAGATTAAAAATAACCCTCAGTGTTAATTTAATTCTCTACACTGATGACAGAAATATAGTGCCTCCATAGAATGCATGCTGCGAAATTTTTTGGGGGGCCAAAGCTCCTCATGACATGTAGATACTCTGAGGATGTTAGTTCATAACTCATGATAATGAGTTTTATCTTCATCTGAAAGTTTCATCTTATCAACATATAATAACAAAAATCAAATACCTTTCAAGAGTATTTAAAAAGTGATCACCTGCACTAGAATCTGCTGACTGCAAAGCAGCTTCCTTGTTGGGCAGCTCTGATGATTACATCAGCTGCTAGTCCCCCTCTTGCTAGTAAATATACTCTCTTGCTTATTGACACCTGTCATTTTCAAAACATACTGTACTTTGTTATAAGCATTGGCAGTGAATGTTAGGTCTCAAGCTCTTCCTAACTTGAGTAAGTTATCAACAACTCCATTGAACAGTCCAATATGTAGAATCTTTACATTGTATCAACTCTTTAACTCCCATGAGTGACCAAGATATAATTTTTCATTACAATATCAATACAATATCAATACAATATCAATCAGACAAATGGTGAGAATAAGGAAAAATATAAATTTGGGGATAATTAGTTGATTTAATTCGAAATTTTTTGAACTGACGTTATAAGAATTGTGTAGTTGACAGAAAGGAGAATTACAAATTTGACCTGGGAGTTAAATTAATTGTTGATAACATTTTCTTTCAGTTGCTGACAACAAAGAAAACAAATATGTGTTAGCAACTAAATGTCCCATAATGATTGTAAAGTGTTACAAATGTAGTTTTTATGGCCTTTACCATGCAAAAAAACTGATATTCATACTCATCCTGCAAATCTGTGTGAAATGTTATTCATAGGCTGTATCAGATGAAAGCAGAGAAATTGTTCAGCAAGCCCAGTGAATGGACCAGAACCACTACTATTTATTCACAAAGAAAAATTTGGTGTTTTTGTTCAAGATTGTAGCCTTACATCAGCCAGAAGTGTTTAATATTCTTTCAATGTTTGTCTGCAGGATGGTATAAAGGGATGCCAGTTTCTCAGGACATTTACATCCTTTATATGGTACAAACTGGGTTTTATTTCCATTCCATGTATGCCACAGTGTTCATGGATCAGTGGAGAAGGGACTCCAATCTTATGCTTGTACATCATGTTATAGCAAATTGCTTACTTTTTTTCTCATTTGCTGTAAGGTAAGATTTTGAGAATTTTGATTCTGGTAGGGCTTATTGTAATGATGATTTTACTAATGATGAGTTTTAGTTTATGAACCTTTTTTGGTACATACTGGATGTACATACATGCAAACATGTATGTACATGTAATTTCCTTGACTTTTTGCCACCATTTTGACATAAGATATTCAAAGGAAAAATACTGAATAATTATGTTATGTCCTTCAGGTACTACAAAATTGGTGTTATAGTTTTGTTTCTTCATGACATTGCTGATATTTTTCTGGAGTTCAGCAAACTCTGCGTTGCTTTCAAGTCACGTGGAGGAAAATATCATCTAGTGCCTGATGTACTCAGTAATGTAGGAGTTTCGTGTTTTGCTTTGGTATGGTAAGTACCATTACTTGGTGAGGTTGTTTTAATTTGTTTGTTTATAGTTTTTTTTTTCTCTTGTATGGTAAATTTAGCATACTAAATATTTTCATTTGCCTCAGTCAGAATGCAGTCACTTCTGATTAGGTTGATCTCTTTGTATGACTCTTAGGGAGCAGTTATGATGTTTTGATTCACAGTGAAAGTGGCCACAGTGTGAGGCAGATTAATCAAAAGTAATAAATAGAGAAAAGCTTATGGGTGCACATAGATATGGAACTTTAGTGAGCGATCAATTTGTTATCTCATCAGTGAGCTCTGCAAAACAGTAAGATATTGAGTTGATTATGAGAAGAGAAATTCCATATCTACAAGCAACCATGTATTACCTGTATTTTGTTTATTATATAAATACTATAGGCCTCTAATGATGAGAAAAGTCATCAAGGAACCTTTTTTGAGAATGATGAACACTTAGTCATTTGTTAATCAACCTGACAAGGAAAGTGACATGTCAGTAGCTGATTGGCAATATCAAAAACACATAGGGGGTAAAAATTACCGTTATTTTACACAAGTGCAGTTATGACTTTCTCAAGGCTTGGAATCGGCGTAAATTATAGCAGTTTATATCAATAAGATATTACAGTTCTTACAGGAGCTGCCAAAAACCACCTATAATACATATTGAAGTGGCCAAAATAGCATTTTTATTATCTTCTAGGTTATATTGTCGCCTGTATCTCTACCCATTAAAAGTACTTCATTCTTGTGGCTGTGATGCTCGACCAATCGTTCCTACTGCTCCTTTTTACTTCTTTTTTAATGCAATGCTGTGGGTGCTATTTTTAATGAACATTTGGTGGTTTACGTTCATTGTGTGGCTCTTAGTTCGTATAATTATTGGAAAGAGCACTGGTGTAGAAGATACGCGTGAGATCCCTGAGCACCCTGAGAAAGACAAACAGCTTGGTAATGGAGGGAATGTAGCAAATGGAGAAATACATGAACCAGCTGGTGATAAAGGTGAGGCTTGCTAGAACTTTTCATCCCTGTGAAGTGCATCAAAAATTTTGTTATAGAATAATTGAGATAATATGTGCGCTCTCATTGGTTGATTGGTGTGTTTTGATGAGAGTATATAAACACTGTTGTGATGTCACAGTCCTTGGCGATTTTTAGCTTTTTGATTTTCACCTGTATGTAGCTGAAGAAGGCCACAGGCCAAAACATCAAATTTAATGTTGGAACAATTAAGAGTTTGTCTTCTTTCTTTCTTATCTACACAAACTATATTATACACATATATGTACTTCTTTTTCAGTAGAAATCTGAAAACACAGTTTTGAATAATAAAGTGTATCATGGTAAGCTCTGGTAATTTATGTTAGTATTCTTGTGTTTGTTCTGAAGCTGATCTCATGCATAATGGTAATGGTATCAAGAGAAGGGGAGAAAATGGTGAGCATGTTCTGCATGGTAATGAGCAATTCCGACACAGGCAACCACACACCAAACCAGCCAGTCCTTAGAATGGTTCTCTGATGTGAAACAGCCTGCTAACATGTAAGTGTACCAAATTTACATAGTCTAGTCCAATTATGAGTGTAACCCTCTTTAGTTCAAATGTTACAGTGACACCTGTTCCTCGGAGACATTCACTGCAATGTCCATCTAACATGCAGGTGCTACACTGCTGAGTACTACAAGATCATTTTACAGAAAATAAATGGTGCAAGTTTGGTTCACACTACAATGGATCCATTATTTTGCATATCAAATATGTAACCAGTTATTAGCTGCCACCACAATCAAATTTCAAAAGTTAGCATTCCTGCTCATTTTACATGAACAATTACTTCATTTTTTACTCTATTCTGGTGACAACTGAAGATTTAAAAAGTTTATTACTGACTCTGTGAAGTAACCCTTGACCTGATGTAACCGTTAAATTGTTGTGTTATTCTGATGGGTTCTTGGCATAATAAAACTGATGTTTTATCCTTTTCTTTCATCAGTTTTCAGACTTCAGCCTCCCACAACAGGACCACAATTTGGATAAAATTGTGCTCTATACCACTGAGAAGTTTTTAAGATGTGAATAATTTTAATGTTCTGTAACTGTGTTCACAGTTTGATTCAATACATTCATATAGTTTTTACATGTACTTGTGCTGAGCAGCGAAGATTTCTTTACACAAGAGTAATACTTTTAACAATGAATGTGTTTGGTTAAATTTGAGTGCTTTTGTATGTAAAATGTTATGCATTGTTAAGTTCAGCTTCCTTTTCTAATCACTACTGGTTTTGACAGTACATCGAGCCTCTTCTAATAATATTACAACAGAAAATACAGTTGTGCAAAGTTTGCACTCAGTATACGATATCCAGATTGTGAGTATGTGGCTGCTAATTAAACCCAAGAACTTAACATATTAATTGTGTATTGAATTCATTTTTTTGGTTAACAAAATTGTAGTGAGTGCAGTCCAATCAAATGAAACATTTTGTTAACCTGTTGGAAAAGTGTATAATTATGTAGTCTAGTTAATAAGTTAAATATGAATTAAAAATCTTTGTGACGTAGCCATAAGATTTAGTTTAATAGAAATGTTATATGTCATTTCAATTCAGAACTAACCACATGAACATTCCTAGATGAATAATTTTGCAAGGAAAATATTTATCAACCCATGGGTGTAATGTAAGGAATGTCAGTTACCTTAACAAGCTAATTGCAGAATTTCTGCTGTGTGTTAGTTTCCAATTGTGTCTTAATTAGTTGGTACATATTTTCAACTATGTAAATGTTTTAGTAAAACTCCATCATTAGCCATTATTACATTACTGCACTTTTTAGTGTTCACATTTTGGATATTAATTTCCATGTACTACATTTATGCATCACGTGATCCCTATAAGCACAACAAGTTTATTTCATTTACTGATGCAAGATAATTATTAGCATTTTGTCAAATCACATACGAATCCATTATTTTAATATTCATTAATAGTGATTTAGAGAGGAATTTTTTTCTGTCATTTATCTTAGAACTTGAATGCAATGGAATGTTATTGCAGTCACAGGAAGGAAGGCAAGGGGACAGTGTTGAAAAAATCACTCCTCTGGAGCTCCATTAGATTCATTTATCAGTGAAGTAAAAGTTTATAGCCTGTTTGTCATAAAATTTCATACCATCTGGTCTTTATATCTGAGAATTGTTTGACAGCTATTACAAAACCAAATTACTTTTCACTATACTCAGCACAAAAAACCTTTCACTCAGAATCAAGATAACTTAAACACGGTTTCCATTTTTAACGCATTTAAGACAAACAAAAACAAGTGACTTACACATGTGACACATGTGCATTATACGATATTGTGAAAATTGATGGTTTTCATCAGAGAAATCACATTCCATACTACAAGTTCTCATTATTATTACAATTATCCAATGACCAAAATTACGAGGAGGAAAAACGAGTATGTTTCTTAAAAATGCAATTGTCACCGTTTATAGACAAATTGAAACTTACATTTTCAGGATATTTCATTCAGATAACCGCTGAGATACAGATGTACTACGTTAAAAGGATTATAGTCGACGTTATGAAATTTGCACTAAGAAAAAAACTCCCTGAAATTTATTTTCTCATTTTTATAAGTATGAAATATGTACATACATACATGTACATATAAAAACAAGTCTTACCCTTCCTTGAGCGAAAATTAGAACTATAAAAAAATTTATCTCGCAAAAAATCGTTAAAACTATGATTTGTTGGCTCTGGGATTTTCAGCATTGTGGTGAGCATCAGTTTGGAATCTGTAGACTCAAATTCCAGATCCCTCATTTCGTAAAGTTTAATGCTTCCTAATTAAATTAATCTGGTATTAAATTGAAATATATTTCTGTAACAGTTGGTAAATTGTAAAGTAGCATTCTTTAGGTAGATGAAGCCAGGTTTTAGGATATTAAATGGTATTCATTCGAGTGATATTTCAGGTAATTGAAACGGTGATTAATAATTCAATGTTTGAATGGGTGACCTTATTACGATAATGAAGTGTGTGGCTTAAGCTAAAATTATTGGAAATGAATGTCGTAGGGAAATAAGTGCATTAAAGCAGTGGTAGTTTTGTGGTATGCTGGTGTTGTTGCTTTGTTTATGAATTTACATATCACAACCTTCGCTTCTTGAAGTTGGGATACCTCTTCCACCTTCTTCCCCCTCCCTCCTTCCCCCCCCCCCCCCCCCCTTCCTTCTTCACTGTTGCCTCTAAATAGTGAAACCCGTCATGGTTAGCGTTTTTTTTTTAGTTTGAGCGTGTGAAAGGCTAGGAGCAGGCAAGGGGGAGCGGGGTGGGTGCTCGAGTCTGTGGGGTGTATTAAACTTGTTTCGTGTGGTGGAAGGAAGTCATTCAAAGAGAGAAGTTCTGAAGCTCAGCCTTGTGCGATACCTTATTCGGAAACACCTTTCTTCCGAACCATTTATTTTATGAGGAATGGGTTAACAGGTTCCTAAGTAGAATTCAAGCAGACTACGTTTGGCGCTACGGCGCGCGCAGCCCCTCGAGATGCGAGACAGCAAGAGAAAAAGGTGTGTGGAAGGTCCCTAAGGGGTGTGGTATACCAAACTTCTCCCAGGACCTTCGCAGATTTTTCGCATGCACAGTCGTCCGGCGCGAAACACGAGGGTCCGCCGCTTATGTCGCAGGGCCAAAGAGAGCCCTATCGCAGGCTAGTACTCAGCTGTTACAGTAACACTTACATAAAGAACCTCAAACTGCAAGTGAAATGGAGACCGTGTCTACCGGAAAATTAATACCGAATAATAGAACATGTTAGAAGCCATCAACGACTTCCACTAAAAAACTCTCTCTCTATTTAACGCATTTTTTAAAATATATTACTGCACAATTTGATCAAATACACGAAGAAAGCACAGCGGTTACTAATTCTGGGGCAAACCCAGTAAACCTCGTTTATTACTATATTTATTTCTTGCACAAAGTGACTCAACTTACTTTCAAAACTACCGTCCCCAAAAGAACATTTCCACTAACATAGTAAGTATTTTCCTTTAATTGGTACCCACCATTTTGCGCAAAATTTAACTACCGGTATCCAATGAATTAATAGGCAAAATTCGAAACAATTCAGCGACTTTCTACACAATCTTTTTTGGCTCTATTTTTTTCCCTTCTTATATTTGTTTTTTAATCTAATTAAGGTTCAAATCAGAATTACAGCTAAAACGTTCCATTCTCGTTCCCAGAGCAGCTCGATTCTTGTAGTCAGCGTCAGCCTTAGTGGATAAAATAAAATCTCCACCTTTTTGCTCGTGCGTTCCTACAGAGCGGATACATTGTTGGGCTAGAGATTGAATAAAATGTTGACGGCGCAAATTTAAAATTTGATTTAAAGTAATAATAATAATAATAATAATAATAATAATAATAATAATGGTTTATTAACAGATAAAACAGGTGGCTCTTCCCTGTTAAATTACATCAATTACAATTAAAATTAAAAAATTTTAAAAATTTTAAACAAATTTTAAAAAATAAAATTAAGTTATTTCATAAATTACGCAATATGAAAGTAGAAGTAGGATTAACAGAATAGAAATTACACAAAAATTAAACAATTGTACGCCAGGTTCTACAGCTTGTGTGATCGACATACAGTGGGATGGACTTACAGTTCGGAAAACACACAAGTATACCATGTTTATCACTGGTAGTAGAAAACTTAACATAGTAATTTAATTAAGCTTAGAGCCAAAGCTATATTGATGAACTTAGACTGGTAGCTTGTTACTGCGGCACCGGTCGTATCAGGCGTGACCTTTTCGTTTGGGTTCTTGCCATCGAACCACATCACCATACAATTGTTGCTCTTTTCGTACGTAAATGATTGTCCCCACATTTTGTTACATAATCCTTCTCCGTCTTTATACAGCTGAAAATGAAAATAAAAATACAACTTATCGACAACAGGAAATTACGTTTCGATTATGAAAGCGGAAGTCGTCTTCATGAAAACCCTGACGATGACTTCTTCTCATGTTTTCTAAACTCAGGCTTGAGAAACTGTCACAACACAGCGGTAAAACGTAGGGGATTCGCGAAGAGACCAATTTTGGTGACCCGCGCGCCAATTTCTCGCGTAAAATTTCTAAGGAAAATATATACAAAACAACCGCTGTATTGCAAAATAAACGAAAGAAAATTGAAGCTTTCATAAGAATTTGTAAAAGGAAATCACCGTGACTGATTCCCGTAATTTGCGAGAGAATCTGACACTAAATTTCTCTTCTTTTCTCGTGCGGCTTCCACAAACCTGCAAGTCGGGAAGGCGACCCCATGGTCTCATAGGACCATTTGTCCCTGTTCAAAGAACTGTTTGTCAAGGATTCCCACCGCAAGCTAAGACTAGCATACACCAGCCAGCCCTTCACTTAATCGCTGTTAACAGTTGACATTACCTCGCTAAATCTGAGACATTTGGAATCAGTTCGGCAGGAGTACTGGCTTAAAGTAAAGTTGAAATCCGCCAGCCAATCTTCAGCGCAAGTCATATCGTTTTTGCAGGCATCGTACCATTTATCACAATAGTCAGCACATATTGGAACCCGTTTCACGCCTCCACCAGAGGTATGCCATTTGATAAGGCTGGGTTCACACGAATAGAAACACTCTTCGTTTTTTATGTACCGCTCACACTCCTTTTCAAGAAAAAAAAACATTTAGTTTAAGCAAAAGAATATAATTATTTTCACTTGGTTTCAGGGGTACGAGTGTTTTTTAAAAGGATCCTAGTCAAAAACAAGACATTGCGCGCTCGGTCTGCCATTTTCTATGCTATCTATATTCGTGAAATTGCTATTGTGGTCTATCATCCAAGTGCGTCCGCCCCGAAGGTAAACAAAAACAGAGGCGATTTTGACTAGGATCCTTTAAGATCAAATATTCTCTACTAGTATACAGTGAGAGGAGTGTTACCCTCCATAGGGGACATTTGTTTTCAAAACGTGATTCAACGATTGCTTTGTTTAGCGCTGTTTATTTCACATAAAATCCAGTCAAATAAGCTTTACTGTGCTTTCCCTAAGTTCTGATGGGAAGATTAAAAAGTGGTGCCGCAAGTAATTGAGACAGTTTTAACATCTACATCTCGGCTGCTTCCGCAGCTTCTGTCATACTTTGAAAGCACCACAAAAAAAAAAGTTTCAGCTTGGCTGGGAGGGGAAACTAGCTACAGAGCGTACCACGCTTCGCAAAAGGCACCAAGGACTACAGGCATATCCCATTCTGTTTTCTTTACCCTCTGTTCTCCGTTACAATTCTTCAAACAGCGGATTCAATTCCCTCACTACTCTCCTCTTTGACTACTCTCTCAGTAACTCTCAGTGACTAATCAACTCTTGTGTCTCTGACTTTGACCAACTGTCTATGAACTCTAAACAACGCGCCTTTGTCTTCGCTATGAGTGGACATTCGGGGCTAATTAAACATTTGTTGTCAGAACACTAACTCAAATATATTCAAGAATGAACAACAACATTCTCACTACTTCCGATCAAACAATCAATCATTGACTGCAAAAGCCAAATCAAGAAGTTTAGTGTGGATCCAAGGCAAGAACAGACAAGCGAAGCACGTCCACCACTGGAAGTTTGACAAGACTGTCAAAATCAGAAATCTCACCGTGATAGCTAAAACCCAAATAATTGCAGACTTTGAATTGAAATCTTAACTAACTGCTTAATATATACAAATGGCTACTAAATCATAGCTAGCGAACCAAACACTTCACGACATACTGTCAGGAACGTTGATGGGCAACTGGATAGTCGAGAAATTCCCTCAGCCAAAGTAGTATCGATGGGGTGTAGGCCATGCTAGGCTCTCAGTTAGTGGATTAACTCAAGGGGTTAATTTTTGTAAAGAAACTGTGGTGCTGCATCGGTGGGGGTTTTAAAAGATAATTTGGTTTTATAACTTAACTGAGTTAACAATGTAAATGAGCCACCGCAGAGGGTTTTTAAAGCTAACGTTTCGCGAAACGTCAGCCCTTTGTTAGAGACGGGTGAAAAACTAGAGCGGGTGCGCGAAAACTGGTGAGCAAGCGGACGTGGTGGTGGGAGTTGTAACCCAAAGCAGAGATAAAACGTAGAAAGAGTATCGCTTGCGCGTGATCACTATGGACCCAGAATAATGTCAAAATTATCACCGTTTGATTTCGAGTATGGGAGTTGAGGTCGGACAACTCAGGCAAATAAGACTCTCGACTACAGCGATTGGAATCGTTAAAAGAATCGCTCAGAGACCACACTTTTAGTTTCTATCGGTTTACCAACGTCGTATTTAACCCACTCGAGAATGTTGGGAGAATACAAAAGAAGTTTGTGACCCACCAGCCGGAGGCGGATGATTTAAAAACTTTGCAAGTGTTCTCCCAACATTCCACGTGAGCTAATACGACGCTGGTAGACCGATAGAAAGAGCCGTCTATTGCTTTCATAAAATAAAATTTAAATTGCCTTACATGAGACAAGAGCCTCCATCGCAACGTTCGAAGAAAAAAAGTTTCCTTTGCTGTCGGGGGACGTAGCGTGACATAGTCTGGACGCACTGGACTGTCAATATTTGTTTGGCCCTACCAAAAATCTCAACAAAATTTGTCAAGCGTGGGCGCACTGAGACACGGCAAAGTACTTGTTAACTTTAAGCCTCCATCGCAACGTTCGAAGAATTTACGGATCTACCGTTGGGAACCGTAATAGTTGTATTCTGAGTAAGGATCGTTATGCAGCATACCGAAGTACGAATCCTCCATCTTCACCTTTTGATTGCCGCGCATTTGGGAAATAATTTCGGCGGGTACTCCGACTAAAAATAGATATCAAGTTTTCTTGATTGACATTTTCCTTCAAATCATGGCGTGTAAATTGACAGAAGTCAGATTTCACGCCTGACAGCAATTTGTCCTGCTCCGAGGCAGGACGACGGCGTCTCTGAAGTTTGGTAAGCCTTGACAATTTGGTAGAACTAAAAATCACCGGGCGCACTTGTCTCAGGGAACTGATGACAGATTTTTTCGCAAAATAAACAAATTAAGGGCCCATCTGATTAGATTTGCTGAACTGAGGTTTTTTTTACGAATAATTTTTCATGTAAGTAAATATTTATTCCTTTTCTGGTAGCATGAGGAGCGCAGTAAGTCACATTTATATCTATTTTGCACGATGTAACCAACGAAGTTGAATCATATTATGTTGAATCATGTTATGTTGAATCATGTTATGTTGAATCATGTTATATTTAATCATGTTATGTTACGCAAGGAAAATAAATAAAGGGAGTAATTTTCTGAAGAAACTGTGTTGCTGCGTCGGTGGGGAACAAAGTTATCAACTCAAAGTTGATAACACTAAATCAGCCTTTAAACTCTTAACTGAAATCAACTCAGAAAAACTCTCGCGGTAATCCAAAATTCAAAAGAAAGCAGCCAGATGAATCTGACGTTCAAGTCAATGTGCATGATGAATTGCTCTTTTTCACGTGATTTCAATGATGCAATCAAGGCACAAACGATCAAAGACTTTTCGATTCATCAGCAGAAAACGTTCTATCGTCGGACTTTATTCTCACTTCAACGAAAGACAGTTCTTCGTGAAAGTTGAAAAAACAAAAATTTGCTCACACGCTGGCTCATGTCGCGACGGTGATCCGGAGAGTGACTTACAAGAATGTTATTGTTGAAGAGTTTATTGCTGCAACAACGTGACCTCCTATCCACAATAAAGCAGATATCAATGTAATAACTTATGTAAAAAGAAATTACTTACTGTAAAAAATTAATCTTATCTTAAGGGAGCCGGTTTATTTACACCCGATTAGATGAAAAGCTCTTAGTAATTGATATGCTAATTGTAATAGCTTGGTAAACGTGACCACTGAATGGGCGCGAAGGTCTCTCACAACCCCTATGGTTCTATAACGGCTGTACATCAATAATGAGTGAACAGTGCTTTCGGAACGTAAATATGACATAACTTGCAATCCTCACAAAACTTACACAAAAATAATGATTAGTTGTTATCAAACAAATTGATATCGATGTTCTTACCTTAGAGAGATTACCACAGTGGTGCCATGAAAAATTATACAAAACTTCCACATTACTTTTCTCAAGTTGAGCAGTGAAGCCTGCAGTACAGCACGTTCTTTCCTTCCAAGGTTGACATTCAACATAGTCCGGCCCTTCAGGAGACGGTTTCTCTTTATGATAAGGGCCATCGATGCATTTAGCTACCTCTTCCTCATGACCAAGGCAAAATTCTCCGACGAATGCGGCAAGGAATAAGCACACAAACACGCCTGAACGCGCCATTCTGCAAAATGAATATCAAGGGCACCGTAAGGATGTTCCAATAATACCCATCACAAAGGGAACCCCAAGTTTCAAATCGAGGCTTGTCACGGAAAGGGGCAGAGCTCAGACCCATCCGTGCATGCCTCCCCTTGCTTGTCTCAAAACGCGAAAAAAAACAAACAAACAAAAAATATGCCTTTTCGGCGAGCAAAGTCTGGTGGTTTACACGGTCATTTTTTTCAGCCCAGTTACAGATGTCAGTCGCTGCGGTAAAGACACCACACCAGCTCGCCACAAAAGTGTACGTGTGACGTATGAAAGCGGAAAAATGCTTCTGTGATGATTTACATCTTAAAGCTAACAACACCAGACATTCGTCTAGCTCAGACCCAGCCAACTGCAATCGAGCTCCGCCCAAGCTACGTCCTGCCAACCCATCACGTGAAAAACCTTTCAAAGGAAACAGACAATCGAATTATATTTTTCGCCCGAACGAAGTCGATATTCGTCCAAGCGACCAGCTAGCCAGGTTACTACGCATTTTGACGAGTACTATAAATGTCGGCCGCAGGTCAGTTAGATCCTCTGGTTCAGGCATTGCGTGACAAGAATTGTTCCCGCATACATAGATTTTAATTCAAAAAAATATTATTGAGAGTAGTCCATTTTACCATAACCTTGGGTTCGGACATCATTTCCCAATCATGATATTCCAAGCAATCGTTTTTATATTCAACGGCTGACCTACAGGGACCCTCTACAGTAGGAGAGTAAAACCCTTTCTGAGCAAGCCTCTTCTTGACGCACGACGGAAAGAGGGTCCAGCATAGGTTTGGCGGGATGTGGAATACGAGAAATTTTAAAGGCGAGATGCGGGATGAAAACAAGAAAGCGAAACCGGGACATGCTACGTGTCGAGGGCGGAATAGGGGATAGGCGGGTATTGGTTGTTTCTTGAATCTGCTTTCTCTGTGTTGGAATTGCAATCACATTATTTATATTCAATCCGCGCTATAGTTTGGAATTTGCATATAAATGCCTGTTGAAAGTGATAACTTGAATATTAAATTTCTTCCTCTTTTCTTCTGTTTTAGATTTCAAACCGGCCCTTCTTCCTCTTGTAGGACGACGGCGAAAGATTAAAGAGTTTCTCGGAGGATGAGACCAGGCGCTAGGAAGTCGCGCTGCCATTTTACAACGCCCGTTGAAGTAAATTCCTTTGCATAGTGTGTCTTGTAGCGGTGTTGACGGTTGAGTGGTTACATTATGATGTAATTATGTTGTGGTGAGCGCGTGGGCGGTCGGAATACATTTGAATTTGATCAGAGGCACGTGACCAGGAATCAACCAATCACAATGCTCGTTTTGTTGAGTGAAAGTCTAGGTAAGTAACAACACGGTGTGTTACATAACCTGCTACTAAGTATCTGCAATTTGACCTAGAGAAAGTCCATAAGAGAGCTCTCTCGTGCATTTTCCCGAGGATATCATACGCAAATGCCCTTCAGCTTGCCGGAATATAAAACTTACGAGATCATCAAGAAAAGCTGATTTTGCAACTCTTTCAGTCGACAGCCAACAACCCGTCTAGCAAGATCCAAGACCTAATTCCAGCCTCCAACAAACCTCAGAAAGAAACGGAAATATCAGCTGTCATCCACCATAACGAAGAGACTGTCTGACTCATTTATTTATAGGTGCAGAAACGAACTTATGTATAATTAAATAATTGAATGGATTCTCACTCTTTTTTATACCTAGGATAAATTGATAGATAAGTTTTTGCGTTTTATACAATTTTTTCCACAATTTGTTGTAAATTCACGCAATTCGGTTGTTAGATTGCATGGTGATTTTAATAAACACGGTCTACGCTCAATTATGGACCCTCGGCAAGTCAACTTGTGTTGTTTACATGCAGGAAATTGACCCATGGAGATCAGGAGTTGCGAAACCTTTCTAGTGCAACTTGTTTACTTAAGGCACAGGTGTCACTAGACTCCATTTCATGCTGTTGCGCTAAAGCACAGACAGTTCTCCTTATGCATATGAGTCCTACAAGGCGAGAGAAGTGCGAGAGATTGTGAAGTTGTTTGTTCATAAGCCAGTATTGGATCTCTGGTACATAATTCCTATGAGACTAGTTTTCTGAACCAAGTATTACATTTAGTGGTAAGTTTCAACGAGCTTGCAATAATAACTATGGACGTTACCTTAGTCCAGTTGATGTTTCATGCGCAATCTACGGAGGAAAATGTAATTTGTGATAATCGGTATTGACACAAATTAATATTTTGCCGACACGGAACAGAGAACTGGGTGCGAGCGTAGTGCGCGAAGGCTCATGGGTAGTACGTTTGTAAGAAGAGACCGTTGAGAAACTTGTGGCATTCTACGGTCAGCCTTGCCACTAGCACTTTCCCATAAGGTTTATTTTTATTGTGTAATTAGCCTGATATGATTTGTTTTCTTCATTCTCTTCATTGTTTATAGATCAACCTTAAAACCCCAAAGGTGGCGCCACTGCAGTTGGTCGGGGGTACACGGTCCCTATTTTCCTAACAAGAGGTTTTTGGGGTTTACGTGTCCGGCTTTGGCGCATGTAGGACGTTACTTGATGTATCTCTTATCCACTTTGTTGTAAACTCATTGTCACAATTAAAATATATCTTGGGCCTAGCTGACCAACGCGCCCATGCCTCAACCTTTGAGTGTGTTCGGTTGTGTAGTGAAGGCAAAATTTGTCAGCTTGTTTGCCATCTCAATCAATTGTATCCCCTCCCCCACCCCCAGCTGAAAAGAGTATTCGAGAAAGGTTGGAAACTAATGTTTGGTTCGAAGAAAATCAATACGAAAAACTGCCTCTTCATTTTGTCTCCTTCTGCATTCTTGCTCTATTTTCTGTACTGTGCTTTGTTGAGAATGGTAAGTGTTCATTTGACTTACTTTAATTATTGGTCGTGTGCAAATATGAACTTAGTAGTTGTGTCTCAGGGTCGAGTTTTGTTTGAAGCTAAAATAATAATAAAAACTATTCCGGTAATCAAGTATTATCAGCACTTTAGAGCAACACTGTTACATCAAGCTTTGTGCTCTTAACGTAAATCGACTATTTTTCACGATCACTTTGTCATATATAGATAGCATGAACTTAGCTGCTAAGAATCGCACAAACGGTTTCACATAGTCAATAACTTTAAATTTGCAAATACTCGACTTTAGCTAGAGACAATTTAGGTTTAAATAAATTAAACATAGTTACGCTATCAAATAGTTTAAATTACGAGGATATCCAGCATATATTCTGTCACTCTCAAAAATGCCTATCCATTTCGGAAAATTTTTTAGGATTTATGTAATGTCTTCACAGGTATTTCTCATTTGTTTTTAATGCTGCTTCGGCTGGTTCGGAAGTGAATAGTAAAACTATTCATTTTCGAGCAGCTGATGAGACAGAATTGCGCGTCCAGAGTTTAATTTCCGACCATTTTTTGGTATTTTTAGAGAAATAAACAAGTTTTTGGCATCTGTGTGCTTAATATACTGAAACAATTATTCACCTCAATGTCGGTGAAAGTGGTTGATATTTGCCTCGCCACTTTGCAGCTTGGTTAATGTCCTCCACTATTCACTTTAACTTTGGTGAATAATCGATGATTAGTATATCCCTAAAACAGTATATGGCTTTAAGGCACACTCAGATTGGCTACTTAAACTCAAAATATCCTTTGCAATTCACCTACATGCAATGCCTGCAGGATTTTTGCCTCAAAATATTATTGTAGTTATTGCATGAATAAATGGGTTAAAAACATCTTTTTATGCCATGTTATTGAACTGTTTTAGTATATAATAAAAAAACTACTCACTTCAGTGTTGGTTGCTATTGACCTCACTGCTTAGCAGCTCAGCAAATATCCACTTTTATTGAAAACTAGAGCATTGGATGATGCAATTCATAAGTTTTCATAGGCATAAACATTATATGCTAACTGAGCCATTATACCATATGTGCACAAGAAGACCACTTAAACCAGAAGTGTTTTCGTACATTGCAACATTCTGTTTGTTCTTACAAAATAAAGTCGGAAAGATTTATCTGTATTTTGAGGCATTTTTTTTAAAACTATTTAATCCACTTGCATTTGTTGGATATGAGATGATTATTGCCAACTCAGCCCTACAGGTCTCTTTTATTATCTATCATCTCATATCCAACACGTGTTTGTGGAATAATTGTTTACTAGCTACCTCCGTGTTGGTGAATAGTTTTTGCCTACTGGCTACTTCATTAAATGGAATTCTTTGTCAAGCTAAGTGTATTGTTTCTATCAAGTTGAAGCAGGTTTGTTTTCATTTTAGGTGGAACAGTTTACAGAGAGTCAAATTGATGGTATGGTGTCGAATTTATTGAAAGAAATTATGGTGGTTATTTGTGGTACACAACTTTAGTCCAAGGTCTGGGACAGGGGGAGGAGATTCTCCTTGAAATACCTTGCTAGAGCTGGATTGTCTGGTCATCAAAATCCTGAACCTATTATTGACAAAAACACATCATTTTCCTCACAAGTTTTTCATAGCTGACCTCTAAAATCCATACCTAATTTCATACCTGAGTTTTGAAAATTGTACATGGTCTGTTAATCCAAGTATGCTTTAAATTAATAAAATTTAGTTGTAAATTTTAGTTGGTGATATTTTGGTGTTGTGCTTACTTGTATTTGTCTTGTAATTCCCTGAAAAATTACCTTTATCTTAAGAGTTGAAGACCATGATGGGAAATTCTATATCAGTATTCAGATCAAAAGTGTTCAACAACCATTCTCTTTGGTATGGCACATATCTGTATAGCTTACATAGCTTTGGTTATCCCCACCCCTAGTATCTTCTGGGCATTAGTAAGCTCAATATTTAAGCAAATTTAATATGTTGAACCTCAGAATTTTTATAATAAACTGAATTAATTTTTCTCTTGCATCGTTCCATAGAATTTAAGGAGTGCTTCTCACTGTTTGATGGGGACAGTGATGGCATGATAACTGAACAGGAACTAGCACTGACCATGCGATCCTTGGGAGAGAATATCACACATGTAGAAATTGCTGCGCTTATGAAAAAGGCTGGTAAGATAAAGACTGCAACCATTGTTAACATGATATTGGGGCAAGTTTAAGATAAGCAAAGACTTTTCCATCCCCTAACAAAGATTAAATTTTCAATAATTAATATATGTAAACTTGATTGGTTGTTTATAAATCTGCTTGGAGTATTACTTTATACACACAGGCATCTTTACTTGGTCTACAAAACATACAAATAGAGAACTGTTTATTATTTAATTATGCTTATCTTTCATGCCATGAGAAGTTACAATGCTGGCAGTGCCACTTTTTTTTTAAAAGAGTTACTGATTTAACACTTGTAGAAACATACTTACCTCTGTCTGTCATTAAAGCACACCAAAGAATGATTACCATTTGATTTAATTGTGCTAATCAGTGCTATTGGTGTATGCATCGATGGAATAGAACAAAGGTTACAAAGAATTTTGATGCAATTCAATATTATTTCTTGTTATTAATGAGTTTGCTCAGCTAGTTAATGTAGTGGCATTATGATGCTTGGAAACCCATTTTTTTCATCAAATTAATTCTGTTAACAGTTGAAAGTTCATAATTTCTTTCCAGGAAAATACAGCAGTTTCTTTTGAAATTAACTCCAACTACTCCATGAAAGTTTTTATTTGACTGATAAAGATTGCTTTTTTAATATTCATTGAAGCTATAAGTTGTATAATATTTTTTGGTTACATACATGTATGTAACCACATCATAATGATGTAAATTTTTACTAATAATTATAATTATCATTGATATTAGTATCTCTATTGATTCATTATGTTAGCATTATCATTGTTTCTGATCATTACTATGTACTTGTATGTCTCTGTTGATATCTGAGCCTGAAAATACTCTTTCCTATTTACAAAATATTAGGTAAGCAGAAAGTGCGATTCCCAGAATTCTTGAAGATGATGGCAGAACAGCATAAAAAGAACTTCAACTCAGAGCGTGAAATTTTGGCTGCTTTTACAGCTTTAGACAGGAACAAAACTGGTGTTGTGAGTCGCAAGCAACTACAGCATCTAATGACAGGCACAGGGGATAAACTAACAGCTGCAGAATGTAAGAGATTTGATAAGTGTCTGGCAAAAATGATTCATAATGGCAGTTACTTACAATGCAACAGGTTTAGCTTCCCGCTAGGAGTATTGTGCTTGTAAATGTTTTTCAATCAATTTTATGTTACTTAAGGGTTAGAGATCAAGGACAGAACTTTAAGAGGAACTGTCACAAGCTGTGTCTGAGATGAAGGGAGAACTCAAACATTGTTTTTAATGTAGCTGAACACGCTGTCTTCTCGTAAGGCTCCCACATTTTAGTGGTTACCTTGTTATGCCAATGCTCCCCTACAAATTGCTTCTAAGTTGCTCTGCTGTGAATGTTACTTCTTTCTAGTATAAGGTACCTTTTCCATTTTGTTATTTCATTTACTTGCTATCATTTCAGTGATGTTACTTGTTTTTATTTTCAATTGGTGTTTCTCTTCTTCTAATGACAGAGATACTTGTTGTGTTAGTGCCTGTAAATCATGGAAGAATGCCCTGTTTCTGTCTCTCTATTACAATTCCCCCTTGGTTATAGTTTACCCTATTGTTTCAATACTGGTATTCTTGTAAAGTTTGAGGAGTCAGTAATCCTACCCTAGATTATGAGTGTTCATTTGTCCTACTACCCCTATTTAAGCAGGGTGCTTTTGTAGGCTAGTACTCATATTTTTTCTAATGCACCAACCTCAACTAGTTCCCCTAATCCAGCAAAGTAACTATTGTTCCTGGCCAGTGATCTTCCTTTCATGAGGTTTGTTTTGTTCAAAAATCCCTATTTCAAAATGATATTCTTTATACCTATACCCATTGTCCCTGTTATCAACTGGCCATGGCAATAGTAGCCCTCTTGTTACAATGATTTATTCCTTTCAATGTTCCAGTGTGTGTTTCAAAATTTTTATTTCTAAGTTTAAGTTTACAAATGTGTTTTTTTTTCTTTCAGTTCAACAGATGTTAAAGGATTTGAACTTGGAAGGTGGCAGCTCTATTAATTATTCAGGTCAGAAATGCATATGAATTTGTAGCAGTATCTTCTTTTATTTGCAGAATCTACATTTTAGTATGTGATCATGGATTTCTTTCTGTATTCCTGCAAATGCTCAAAAAGCTGTTGCAGTTATGCACTTTGTTTCCATTTTCTTATCAAAAAAAGAAAAACTTACAGCAGCCTTTTTTTGCTGGCCAGGACATAAGAGTTTTAACTTTTTGGACACTTTTCTTTTAGCATTGATATCCCTTAAATTTTCTTTCAGATCTTGTGCGAGCTGTAACCCACTGAGGGAACGGTGATGGTGCAGAAAAAACTGTTACATATTTGTCCTTTACCATCCTTGCAAACTAAACTTTATGCACATAACTTTTTATTGAAATAACCTTCTTCCTGATTTGAACCATCAGTATAGTATTACTGCCGTTGGTATGCTATAGAAAGAACCTTTTGTAAAGAGATTTGTTTGAGAATACCAAGAAATCTTGTAAAGCAACCATGAAAAAGAAGCAATCTGGGGTGTTAATGTCAATTTTGTGGCCATCACATCTGAAGATAAGCATTGCAAAAATTATTTATAGGTGTCATCCAAGTACTATTTATAGAGTTTTATTGCTTTCCTCTCACTGCAGTCTTCTCAGACAGATATAAAAGGTTAAGATTACAGAGTTTGGACTGCTTTTAGCCCAGCATTCATCAGACAATGAGGTTGCATAATTTGTCAACCTCAATACCTGAAGGGATTAGTGCTGTGTGTCTTTTAAAAATTTTTACAACTAACTGCTAATTAAATGTTGTTAGAAATGGTTGTGAAATGATGTAAGGAGCTATGTTTTGCCACAAATTGGCCTCCATTAAAGTTAACAGTGTAATTTTTAGTATGTTAATTGGGTTTATTGGCAGGAAACAGGGAATGCAGGTGTAAGAATTACTGATTCAGAAGTTGAAACATTTTTTTTTTTTAATGAAAGTAAAAGAAGAATTCTAGTCTCACTCAATGATGTATTTACAAAAATTGCATTTATTGGAGTGACATATGATTAAGATTGGTTAATGGTGACACAATAAGATCTGGTATTTATGAACCACTTGGAATTATTAAGGGGGATTTAGAACTGTAGCTGAATTAAATAAATGCTTTGAAATTCTGGTGGAAACTTTTTTTTTCTTTTTTCTTTTTTTCCCCTTTTTTAAACTGTTTAAACTGGTTTGCAATTTTAAAGCTTTAAACCACCAGGAACACAAGTAATAAGAGAACTAGAAACTAAAATGATAAGCCAGAAGAGGTTGAAACGTTTATTTACCAAGTGAACTTGGATCAATTAATGGGATGGATTTTGTGTTTGTACCATTATTCAGTTTCAAAACAGATCAGCAGCTTACTGATGACAATTGAAGGTTGTTATACATTTAATCCTTGAAGTTCAGCTACTTTATGTTGTAATTTAGCTATTTTTTCTTGCAATTTTAAAACTTTCCCTTGGAGTCTCAACACTTCCTTGTCAGCCTCAGTCAAGGGAGTCGTTGTTGTATCTGTTGGTGGCGTATCTTTCATTTTTTGTTCTTTTCCCCTATCATCATTACTGGCTGTTCTATTTTCGTCCAAATCGTTCGATTTAGAACTTTTATGCAGAGTTTCTTTTGCTTTTGCAGCATTTTGATCAGCTCGTATTTCGTTATTTGTTGCCATTTGAGAATGTTTCAAAGCATTCTGATTCGTTGGGAGTGCGCTGACCGCATCTGACTTTTCTTCACTTTCTTTTTCTTCACCATCGACGTAATTCTGAAACATTGGACGAAGCACAGGGGCGAGCAATGCCCATATATAGAGGCAAAGGCATGCGCTACTCGAACCCATTTTGATCCAAACCGCAGGCCATGATCTTTGAAGCTGCCTAAGGTTTGTAGCCGGTGACGGGCTGTACCAATTTGTCAACGTCATCATAATGTGCAATGACGCCAAGAACATTGCAAAATGGAACAAGGAATAGTTATAAGCTACGTGATCGTCCTCCTTGACTACAGACTCTACATCGTCGCTGTTTTTCGTTGCAAGGTTGTTTGCCCTAGTTTCAAGATCTTTGTAGTGAATACGCCATCTGTCTGGACAGAAAGAAGATTATGGCATAAAAACGCATGCTGCGGTAGCGGAGCTCTTAAACGCTTAGTCCGTATTGGATCGTCAATTCCTAAGAAAATCAGACGGTGACCCATCTGGCTGAGAGAATTACTGGTCAGGTAATGGGCGTGCATACGTCCATGACTGAAATTCTATTTAACATGAAAGTAATATTGATAATTCGGAGATCCTCTTCAGGCTCAGCGAAATCTTTATACGGTTGGTAATTTTGAAAATGTCTCAATGGGTGAATACCTCACTTTTGACTAACCAGAGGGACAGAGTTGTGATACGAAAATGTTAAACGCGGACGAAAACTTTTGAAAACAAATAGCATGTTACCCCCCAAACATAATTATTTCTTCAGGTTTCCTTGTCGAATTACTGGTACCCACTTGTACTCATGCGTGGAGAGAGAGACACTTTGGGAGGAAAGTATCTTGCCCGAGAGAACACAGCGCAATGCCCAGCGTACCGGAGTCCAGCGTGGTTATCGATGGGTCTCGGCGTTTCCCACCGCATTAAATGATGAAATATGAAATTGTTCTTCAAGATCGACCGACCTTGACGGACTGTATTCTAAAAATTAAGATAGCGAACAACCTTAGTTGTTGAACTTACTCAAGTTTGATGCACTCATGGCTGTGCTAAGACTGGCATAAACGAGCATGACAAAGACAAATAGGCTGCTGAAAATTCCCTGCAAACTCAAGCCTGTCGTCTGGTCATATCCAGATATGACGTAACCTGGAGGATTGCACAGATCGTCCGGCTCGTGCGATAAGGCAGACCACGTGAGATACGTGGTGTAAGCTATCACGACGGAGGCTTGAAACAAACCTGAAAAGAACTTTAATGATCTTAACTGATCTTGAGTTTTATGATGAATGGAAAAAAAATGAGATCTAAGAATTGTTAAGGAAGTTCAGATGTAATTGCTTTGTTTTGTATTGCGCTCTCGTGGAGAAAAGAGGAACTCAGACAACATCTGCAAAGAAACATCAATTAAAAAGAATGATAACTCTTTGAGGTTATTTTTCCTACGCCCGTCATCTCCTACACAATCTCTGCCGGTATCATAATAAAAAAAAAGATACTCGACCAATTAGCCAAGAGACGCTGTGAGCATTGGTGGTTATATCCAATCGATTATCTTGCGCATGTAAAAAGCCGAACACTTTTGTCTCTCACTGAAAACATTTGCCTTTTACTTAGTTTAACCGTAAGTTGAGAAGGTGAGACAGGAGCATTTAACTTGAGTCAAGAGGGCGGTAGAGAACTAGCGACTTGGTATGCCATATTGTTTCAGCTCCGTCACTCATTTTCCTTTCAAAGCCAATCGAGTGGAGAGCACATGTTTCTTCGAAATTCGCCCATCCCCACATTTACAGGGAAGAGGAATTCACGGCACAATGAATTGAACCAAAGGGCTCCTAACTTCGTTTGACATAGGTATCTGCATGTATTCAGGGCTCTGACGTCACTAACCAGTGCCTGACTGCGCCTCCTGAACCTTGGGAAGAACGCTGATCACTGTCGCTGCTACGCACTGGCACAAGCTGAACGAGACGAAGAATAAATTGGTTTTACACTCGGCATCCCGCACAAAGTACTTGTAAAATAAAATCACAGCAACCATGGATAAGATAAACAGCATTCCGGTACAAGAAAGGAAGCACAAATACCTGAAGAAAAGACGGAGAGTTGTTATTTCATCAGGAAAGCTGGAACCACCATCACATCAATTTTCAACTCTCATATAACTGTCTATCCTGTAAGTACCCGCTTACCAGCATCTTGAACGACAAGGTGTCGAGGCCTCCTCCATCTTCTCGACCCAGGTCTCACTCCACGAGTGAGACATATCAACTAGCACCACAAGTTGAATGAGGATAAAAAGGAATCCACCGACCAGGCCGAAGTACATCCATACACGATTAAACGACAGTGACTGTGGTATTAACAGCGAGCATGTGATTAAAGCTGTAAAAGAAAATTAAATTAACATAAAACATACTATCATATATATCGTCCCAAGATATCTTGAAGCAAAGAAATTTTTACTGACCAGGTATAAAACGTTTCAGTTTATTATTGGAGATCCTTCAAAACTAAATTGCTTTACCAGTTTTTTTCCTTTTCGATTAAGGCTGTATTTCTTTGTTTATTCATAGACTAAGACGCGCGAGTTATCATTTGGCGCGAAAAATTTTCGCGCTAAATTGGTAAAACATCAGCATCAAGAAAAGTCAGTTGAGAAAATAAGATTTATAAGGAAAATAAAAAGTAAGAAAAAGATCTGAGGAAATAAAACCTAGAAGCTGGTTAGCGATAAAAGTTGTAAGTGATGCTTAATAAAAACTAACAGCTATTACTGGCAATCATTACTCACCAATCAACAGCAGAAACTTGATGTACCAAAAACTATTGTGAATCCGAGCACGGATCTCTTCCACGCTTTTCACATTAAGCGTCATCACGGACAAACACAGATAAAACGAAGCTGTTCCAAAACACACGCGATAAACTGCCGTGTAACCCACTAGATTGTCACAACTTTTTGAGTCCACCATTTCGTTGCAGAAATGCGGAATAGCATTCAGTTTATCTCGCATTCGTGGAGCAGAAAGCACAAAACATAACACTGTAACGAGTAGAAGAAACAAAGTGTAGTTCACGCGAGTCATTGTCTCTCTTCTATGTCCCCCGCATGCACAGCACAAGAAGCATACGCTCTGATCACCATTCGGTTCATCCTTAGAATTGCCTTTCATGTTATTTACTGAGCTGAAGTCTTTTTCATCGTACCACACTTAAGGAAAAGATATGTTTATGTTCATGTCTGGTGGCACAATTATGTCGGTATAACGTCACGCAGTAAAAGTGTTTTTGCGGGAAAAACTGGTTTGAAGAATTAGACACAAATCTGCATGGTAAGTTTAAAAATTGATCATACGAACTTGTTGTTTGTATTTTCATACGCAGATTTAGTCGGAATTCGTCGTAAAGAGATCATGAACTTTTCTGTGAAAAGAAGTCGCGGTTTCGATACTTAATTGAAAGAGTTCCAAGATCCTTTTATGACTAAAAGGGAAGTACTGTGAGCCAAGAATCTGGCTTAAACCGCCAAAGAGTTCTCAGGCCAGATCACCCAGCGTTTGAATCATCGCGTGGACTCAGACGAATAATAAACATCTTCCTTTACTCGAAAACTGTGTGCCAAATTTTCCCATTCAAGAAACATTTTTTATTACTGATTAATCAGTATACAGGACTGATCTCATGCACATAAGGACTCTTGGCCTAGCCCGGCCAACCAGCTCTTTCACTTGGAAAGGATGCAACTGCAAATTCGCAGCTGCTGGCTTGGGTTTTCAATCCTCTCGTATGATCGACTTGGAATTTTCTTTCTCCTGCAATAGTGAAAAATGAAAACGTATCTTTCTTTTCGATGGAGAAGTATTTTTTTCGCAGTGCACAAGACACATGTAATTAAAGCAAGGCACGTTCAACTCATCAACTGAAAATGAATTGGCGGGTACCTGCAATGTGTCAGAGTTAAAGTGACAAAATTCTGTTTAACTCTTATTTCAAAAGAAGATATATCAACTAGCCTTTTGATACCTAGCTTTTGAAGTTATTGCATCCACTTGCTTCCAAAGAATACTGTAGAATAATCGAGATTTTGATATGTTATCACTAAATAGAATAACAAATTATTAAAAAATTGAATTGCTCTTTGGCCTTTATTTCTTTTTTAATCCCGTTTGATTAACAGCTTTACCTGCGGTTTTTCCATATATCCTTTCCTTATTAATAACAGTACCAACGTTCTTTTTTTACCTCATGCGCTGCACGTCAGGTCATCGATTACAACCCGAGAGGAGAAGGAAATAGGAACAAGTTTGTAATTGCATATCTTTATTGATAAATCAATTCTATTCAGGAATTAAGTAAGAGTTGGCCAGGGGAAGGCCTGGTCTGAAACAAGTTTATTTGATGGCTCTATAGCTGTTTCATTTGCAATCAAATGGAAACACAAGAGAGGACAATGGCAAAGAGTAAATAGCACGAACGACAAAGTAACCATATGGTTAGATATCTTTTTTTTAATGTTCTCTCTTTTTCATCTTTTGGTTTCACTGAAATCTCAGTGATGTTATTTTATTTGTAAGTATGAACACAGGTTTGATACAAATTCTTAAAAAAAGATCTCGCTTATAGTACAAAATAAAGTAAAAAGTGAGGGAATGCAATGAAGGGGGAATTTAGAGTACTGTGTTGACAGTCACATGATGGTATATATAAAAAATTATTAGTATACTTTGCTTAAAATAGCTATACATCAAAGGCTGCTTTTAATTCTCACTTTTAGTGGGTGCTTAAATGAAAAAAGAAAACTTCTTCTTGGTTGAACCAGGGCTTCTGATCTTTAATGTTTCCTGAGTTATCTTGAAAATCGAAAATGTTTTCTTTACCACCCAGGATAGAGTTCTGATTTGAATCTATTTGTGTCGGGTATGACGAACAGGCACCTAAAAGCTATCCTCTTTTCGTAACATTTTCTGTTCTTGGAATAGTAACTTCACCTGTTTCCTGTATGGATAATATTTTATGCTGGATTTTCACGATCTTCGCCTGAAATCTAAGAATTCTTTCTTGTAATCTGAGAATTTCCTTGGAAACTTCAGGTTCTTTGACGCTGTTGCTGAAAACACTTTCTTGGGTAATCTTTTCGAATGGATGGTCGATTTGTATTCGCACTGGCATAGAAGGATTGGGAAGCCTTATTTGTTCTTCCGAAGTTCTATCAGAGGAGCACGACCTTTTCCGATCATACATCGACGCATCGGGCAAAAGTGAACTCTCGGCCGACGAAGTTGGTGTGAGTTTGGATTTATCTTTTTGTTTTTCGACTGTCCTTTCACTAGGACTGCTGTCACGGTTTTTATCACCCGAACAGAGAGGGTCATTATCACTTTGGTGTTCCGTTTTGCCTTTAGCTTTACTTGCTTCGCCCACACCGACGTCTGTTTCATTACCTTGATTGCTTTTTATCGCTTCTTGAAGCCTCCTTTTCCTAGCTTGCCGGCTTTGCTCAAGCTCTCGTTTGTCTCTATTCCTATCAACCACGATTTCAGATGTTTTTAATCTTTCCTTTGTCTTCATGAAATCGTCTCTAAGCCGTGCAGCGCTAGCTCTTCTTGCGCTCGGCTGTCTGGCAGGTTCAAAGTCCAACCCCAGATAATGGCCCCACGTCCTTCGTATTAAGGGCGCTACTAGAGTCCATATATACACCAGACAACAAATATAACTCGATGCCATTTGCACCCAGACTGCTGCCCAATTCTTTATCATTTTCTTAAAATCAACGTTTTCATCTGGACTGTGCCAGTTCGTCATTACCATCATGACATGTAAAGATGCTAGGAAAAGAACAAAGTGAAAGAAAGAATAACTATAAGCGACATCTTCGCTTTCAAGTTCCTCGGCTCCTTTACCATCCTCATCAGGTATGTTCTCTTGTTTTCGGTGCTTCGTGTTTATTTCGACACTTTTTCGCAAGTATTCGGGATTGTCAGATAGAGAGAGTCCCAGTTTCCCAAGCTGTGAAGTGCTGGCGCGGACAGTGCACGCAAACGCTAATAAGGCAAACATCAAAAGCGCGCCAAAGATCGCTTGCCCATTCACACCAGATACCTTGTCATATTCCAGTATAACCGCGCCAAGTGGATTGCATTTTGAGTCTGGTTGAGATGAAAGGGTATTCCATGTAAGATACATGGTGTATATTGTAATGACTGAAGACTGCAGGAGACCAGCTCCTGTTGTTTCTTCCTGAATTCGCGGAAGCACAGAAATTATTGTAGCCAGCGCACAATGTCCTACGTTAAAACTGATATAAAAAGTATTCGCTTTACACTGTGATATATCGTCCGGGTTGGTGAAGAAAAGATAAAACATCACAGCCGCCGTGACAGAAATCGAATACACTAAAGCGGTTGAAAAGGCTAGTGAGAAGTACCAGCATTTCGTGTCAAGGGTGTCCATTTTCTCTGCCCAAGATACACTCCACGAATGACCAAAGTCGATGACGAGAATAATTTGAATGAGAATGAACATAAATCCACCCGTAAGTCCAATATACATCCATATCTTGCTGATAAGCTCCGAACTCGGTAGATAAAATACGAATCCTATTATCAAAACCAACAGGGAGAGTTTGATGTACCAGAAACCATTGTGGATCCTAGCGCGGAATTTTTTCCTAGAGTGCACGTTGTAAGTGAGGAATGAGAATAATAGAAAAAACATAGACATGGCGATTGAAACTCTGTAAACTGCTCCGTAGCCCACGAAATTGTCGCAAGTTCGTTTAGACGCGAGTCTCGTGCAGAGGAAAGGAATTTTGTCCAGATATAGTCGCATATTCGGGGAGAGCATTACGAGGCAAAGAACTGTACCAAGGAGAAGAAACACGGTGAAGTATAGCCTTGATCTAATACCACCGACTTTCTTTTTACAAAATAAACTGCACGCTGCTGAGCCTGCGCAACAAGCGACTTCACTCGCTACTTCCGCTACGCCCAGAGTCTGTAGAGCTGCTCCCATAGAAACCCATAAAGAACTCTGGGATAGGTTGAACAATAAACAAAGGATCACTCAGAACCATTCAAATGTGCCAGGCCTCACTTTTTCCCTTTTTTCGAACTAAAATAAGGCTGCTTTTTACCTCTCGCTATCAAGAGACCACGATACCTGATTTGAATGTCTGTGCAGTAGGAAAGTCTTTCAATATGTTGTTAGGATGTCACACTTTGTATTGATTACGATGTGGTGTAAGCAATGCTGTTCTAAGTAGCTTTTTGATGGACTCAGCGTTGTTTAGAAAAGTTGTGCCACGGATAATTTACCAGACGAAATGCTTTAGGAGAGAATGGAGCTCGTTTGCTCTAAAACACACAATGATCGACAAGCTATTAGTCGATTTAGTTTGTCCAACAGATGAGTGATCAATCGACAATCCATTGCTTGTAACGTTCGCCCTCCATACTCCGTGTGCTCCACATTACTTAAACGATAACTCAAACGAGGTTCAGTGCAGTGCAAAAAGTGCTTTTCTTCCTTAGAGAAGGTAAAAATTCGGTGTGGCAGATGCTGATATTCACGATCAAAGTGCTAGCCACCCTGCGGAAACGCCTTGAAATTACGTTGTTTCGTAGTGAACGAAGTCACTGATCAATCGCGCGTGAAATACACCTCAGAAAATATTTCCCTCCAACAGACGAGAGCTTCAACTGGTGTGTGATTCGAACAAAGGCAAAATCCGATTTTCTAATTGCTCCTTTTTCTGGAATAATCTTGGATATCGCCCACAACCATCCAGAACTTTTCAGTTTTTTCTCCCGAACTAGTTGTTGCATGGAGTGTATTGTTATTTATGGTCGTGACAGGATTGAAACCAAATTACGCCACCAGTCAGCAGGTGAACGAGTCAATAACCGGCCGCTTGAGCCTGCCATATAGACCCTCTCAGGACAGCGTAGAGTTTTGAAGCCAAAGCCCTATAGGCGTCAATTTCGAAAATTCTAAGTTTTCGTGATAGATGATTCCTCTAAAGTGAAATGTAGCTCCCCTTGTGGCCTTCGTAATTTCTTCTTTTTTTTCGTGATAAAAAAAAGCCAACAATAAAATCAGGCAGGTTTGAGACAACAAACTGATTTCCTATTGTCGTATCAGTTTCAACTTTTGTATGAAATTCTTAAATTACCTTTACGTCGGTTACAAATTAATAACGTTTGCAAAGCGAATAAAACGGAGGAAAGAAACTTCTGGTAAAACATTCAAATGATGAGGTTGTTTAGACAGGCGTAGTAGGATGGAATCTAAAAGTTGTTCAAAGTCAATGCGTGCGTTGTGACCAATTTTGTCTATTTGGAACCAAAGGCCCACTTTCTCAAAATACAAATTCAATTACGGTGACTGATACACTGCATTTTCGAAAAATTCCCACTGTCAGACTAAAACGAAAAGGGCAAAATCTTATAAATTTTGAGATTGCAGCCACGTAAATTCAAGAAACATACAGTTTACGAGAGAACTTTTTTCTTTAATAATTCAGATTTCTGCATGGCAGAGCTTTGTGACTGCAATTTCAAAGATCATTTACACGGCCTTTACTTTACTCCACTTTGGAAAGAGTTGGAATTGAGATCTAAGTAATGATAGTATGGCCTGATAACGAGTAACATTCACGTGCGTACATATAGTAGAATGTTTTCAGGAAAAAATGTTCTGATTTGTTACAAGCGGAAAAAAAAAGAAACAAACACACAATCAAAGCGTAGACTTAGCTGAAAAACGTCCCTGCTTATCAAGAAACAAAAAAACAGTTTTTAATCTTAAGCGAAATTTGTAACCTTAACTTTCCACCACTATTTCCAAGGCAAAGAGGAGAACCTCGCTACTTTTCGAAATGCCCCGAGTTTATAGTGTTGGAAGAGTAACCCCGCGGAAGCCCACCGTCGGAGATCCTTTTCTCCGAACGCGTTTTTTAATTTTTTATGCGCCGAATCATGTGAACTATTTAATGAATATATAACAGAATGCCTTGATGGATTTATTGATAAGTGCACCAGAACTTGAGATATATACGTTTCCACATGTGTTGTTAGGGTCCGTTCCCCCAATGCTTCCTGCAGTTCCAAACCCAATCCTTGTATCGGGATCGCCAACGCATGGATCTCTGCTCCGTGCTATCAGTCCAAGTCGAGCTTTTGCACCTACCGCAGAGCTTTCTCGATGAACGTTAAAACCACTTTTTTCGCTGTTTGAACAGTTCTAACGGAACAAGAACAACACTTTTTGAATTCTTACTTTTCCATTGAAAGTCGGTTCATAACTTAACATACATCAGTGTTAAATGTTATTCAACTCTAAGAATTACCGTAAAACTAAATTGTTTTCTACTTACTACAGGCATAGATGATCCATTAATCAATGATTTCCATTGTGAAGAATCAATTCCACTAAGAAGCTGTGGAGAATCCAATACGAAAATTCCAAATAAGTTTTCGTTCTTATAAGGTATCTTGAGCTCGAGCCATCTTGTGTGACCCTGAACTTTCATTCCAACACAGAGGCCCACTGTGATCTGGGCATCTGCATAGAAGGGAAATTTTGTTTCCTGTTGCGAAAGAAAAGGGTATGTTGAGGTTATTTTCAGCGTGAGAGAGAGAGAGAGAGAGAGAGAGAGAGAGAGAGAGAGAGAGAGAGAGAGAGAGAGAGAGAGAGAGAGAGAGAGAGAGAGAGAGAGAGAGAGGGGGAGAGAGAGATGAGCATGGTGAATTCCGTGAACTCTAGGGAGCAGCAGTAGCTTGAAGTTGCTTCATGCTACTGAAAACCGAGATACGCTGCCTAGGATGGCTATCCTAACGTGTAAGCTGGCTTTGACTTTACCTTTCTTCAGTATCAGTATGTTGAAGAGTTGGAGTTCCTAAATGTTTTGATTAGTCATGAGGGCATGAAAATGGTTAAGAATGAAAAAAAGCGATCAATCCCCCCCTTCCCAAAAACAAACAAACAAACAAACAAACAAGGAAACAAGTCGAGAAAAAGCGAACCCATGTTAATCAATTCGACAACCAGAGGACGCTGATCTTTTTACTTCAATTAATCAAAATTTCATTTAAAAACTTGATGTGCAGCGTCCTCACCAAGTAAGGCAACAGTAAAACTCTTCTTTGGATCAGGAGTTCAGTGTTAAGGAATCGTCTTATCAATTTTTTTTAAAGAAAGGTTTATGACTCGAAAACCAAATTATATATATCCATATATTATAATTGAACCTTCTCATCGAGATTTTTAGCTTCTTCTGGATTGTAAGCTTCCGTATTTTTCCACAGGTCAGAGGAATATGAGAATGTTCCCTATGATAAATTCACAGATAAACATTATAGCTACTCTCTCAACAAAATAATACAACTATCTTTCATTCAAATCAGGTTTAAAGGTAAAGTTACTATTTTTAAATACTAATGCACCAAGAAGTGTTGATCTTACCAATTAAATATCTTTTTTCCACTCTACTGACCTAAGCTTGAGTCAGTCGGTCATCCCTGTGGGACTGTTAGTTTGTCGGTTGGGCACTTGTCAGTCACTCAGTCAGACAACTTGACACTAAGTTCGACTCTCAGTCGTCCATTCGTCTGTCAGTCTGTTAGCGATTGAGTAAGTTAGTCAATCAGATCGTCGGTCGGTCAAAGTTAGACCGTTAGCACAGTCAGACATCCACACTTCAATATCGTAAATCGTGCATGATCACTATCCTAGAGCAAATTTCAACTGTTTTTTTATTGTAAGTAATCCAGAATTACATTGGTTTTATTCCTGTATGATCTATTATTGGTCAAGAAAAACTCCTGTCTGTCCCTTTACCAATCAGATCCAAAACGAAGACCAATCATGCTTTTCCCCGCGCTTCAACCAGTTTGCTGTTGTGATTATCACTGGCTCATTCTTCGGAATTGGTGATGAATCGAAAAGCGCTCCAAGCACAGAGGTATCGAACAATCAGGCACTATTAGTCATGCTGCTACTGTTTGCTACTGTTTGCTCTTGGAGGAAGAGGCGCAAAGTCGGGTTTTTTTTTTTTGCAAAAGTAGGTAGGTGCATGTAATCCACAATGAGAAGAGGATTTATGAATTCGTTTCAGCATCATAAATCGCTGCCAAACTTACCTTGTTTCCGTTAATTTTCATAGCTAATGTCCAGCCTCCCTTTCCACACTCTGGGGTCTTTTCCATTAAACAATAAATCAAACTTGTTTTTTGTCCTATTCTGATATAGTAGGCATCGTTTTTAACAGATCCATAGGAAGATCTGTGAAAAGAAAAGAAAATATGGCGAAATATAGAAAATAAAAAAGGGTCGAATGTTTACTCATACAAACTGGTGACCTCTAAGAGAGTTGAACTTTAAACAAGTTATGATAATATTATGCATCTTAGTGGGCACTCTTTGGAGATGCGTGTAACCTTACTCCCCAAGGGGCCGGTCATTATTTATCACCTGGGGGGTAGGTTAGGATGATTTTGTTATTGTAATGCAATGCATCTTGGTGGGTACTCTTTGGAGGTGCGTGTAACCTTACTCCCTAAGGGGCCGGTCATTATTTATCACGGGGAGGGGGGGATAGGTTTGGATGATTTTGTTATTGTAATATAATGCATCTTGGTGGGTAGTCTTTAGAGGTGCGAGTAACCTTACTCCCAATGGGACCGGTCATAATTTATCACCGAAGCGGGGGGGGAGAAGTTTGGATGATTTTGTTATTGTAATACAATGCATCTAGTTGGGTACTCTTTGAGGGTGCGTGTAACCTTACTCCCGGTCCAGGGCCGGTCATTACTTATCGCCTTATGTGGGGGTTTGGATGATTTTGGTTGTGTCACGATAAAACTCACCTGATTCCCCCATAAGGCTTGGTGATATTCTTATAACCCTCCGCACTATAGTTCCCCCGTTATACTCTGTCGGTAACGGCTGGCCCCACCTCCGTTCCCCCATGTGATCCCCCCAAAATTCACCAACCCCCTCCCCCTTCCGGTTGATAGATAATGACTAATACCTAATGAAGAAACAAGGTTATTAAGCCAGAAACTGGACTTGTCAGTCATTTGTCAGTCTTAACAACTGACACTTTCCGTTATTTTGCGGTCTACAGTACTAGTCTCCTCGAGCAGCTAGAGATTTAGTTACAGTTGCTACAAAAGAGAAGGCAAGAAATTTAGGAACATCCCAAACACACACACACAAAAGCCACCACTACCCATGATTACTCACCTGCGATCGAGAATATCCAAGCATGACTCGGCAGGATTACTCGGACTATCTCCTAATTCTTCGATGAAAAATAATAACAGAATAAAAAAAGACAGATGGAAGTTAAAAAAACCCTTATAGCTTCTTTTCAAATTTATTCTCAAATTTACTTTGTTTCCAAAAAGTGTGTGATTGTTTTGGCTTTTTTAGTGCTCCACGATTTCAACTTTTTATTTCTTCCAAGCACATTCATCGAAGGCCAAGAGAGAAAACGTGAAAATAAAATAATTTGCGGAGTTTGCTGGTAAATAAACCAAGAAATTGAGTGACAAGAAGCAAACAAATAGAAAGTGGATGTCGTTTTAATATAAAATATGGACTAAAAGCACTTGTGCACCAACTTACGCAGTAAACGCAAGGGAATATTTACAGTTTCTTTCCTGAAAGGAATTGTTAGAAAAAAAAAAAAGATTTTCGATATTACCTGCAATGACTTGTTTTTGAGGAAGTGGCTAAAAATAAAAAAAACAAGGAAATAGAATGAGTTACACACCAACTATTTTAATTATCAATAATTATGGAATACGAATACCCTTTTTTTTCGTTTTGGTTTTATTCTAGCAGGCCATGATTACTTCAGCACAACCAAATAAGCCTGTAAA